CAGTGAGAAAAAGACCTACAGAGGCTGGGACGACACAAGACATAGTCTCCAATCAACTTGAGTTTTTTTATGGGAATGGGAGAAGAAAGCGACACTGATGCGACACATCTCTTTCTCCCTCCCCTCCAACTATAATTCAATCTCCTTAAACTGAAATCGGCCGCTTAAGTAGTGGCGTTAACCATAGAACACGATAAACGAAGTATCGAAATTAACCGGGGATATCTCTAATATATGCATAACAGTAACGAAGACAACATTCTGGACGTATGTTAGAGGGTAAAACGTTACATTTGGGGAGGTGGGGATACGTAACCGGAGTAGTTATACAGACGGGATTCTGGTAGGTTCTAAGAGTATCGAGGACCGAGGAGTCTGGTCCGCAAGGTGATATGACTCGACAAATGGCCGAAAGTTGTGCACCAGATAAAAGAGGACGGACCCTAGATGGGAGTGCTGCGGTCATTTTAAAGTCGATAGGACGGAAACTATGAATTTTACTTTTAAATCAGGATATTTTGGGGAAATATTTCTTGAAAAAGTACAGTAATACCGCTACCAGGTGTGGGCTGTGATAACAACAGAGAGTAAGATGAAAAACAATAGTGGACTTACTTCCTAGAAAACAAATTTTTGAAGCCGCCCCAAAAGCTGCTGAGGCTGTTTATGTTTTGCTGACCTTGCTTCTGGAGTTCAGAAATCTCCTTGAGACGAGCCTCTGTGCGAGATAACTTTTCACCCTGCTCATTAAGTTCTTCCAGGGTACCCAAACCGACGCGTTCGGAGTTTGATATACTCATTAGCGCGCGTTGCTGGCTTGCAAGGGCTCTAGCTTGTTGTGAACTAGTCGACATCTAAAACCGGCAAGAAAGGCACTTAAATAAAAAGCGTAACTGTGAAAAATGGCCCCATGGGAACCATAGCGACCGAAGCTGGAGCAATTTATGACTTGATATAAATTTGCGGAAGTTTATAGAGGTGATTGTGCGTATTTATATCGATCGGAACTGTACAAAAAAGTAAATGAGGTCACGAGAACTGGTATCGGCATCATATTCAGCTGAAAGTCAAATAGATTAACCTGTTATCTGTCTGACCCAGTGCATTTTGGGGAAGTTCCGCCACAATATTCCAAAATAATTCGACGTAAATTTCTTATAACACTGAAATATTTTGCTATTGTTCAAATTATGTCCAGGGTAACTCTGTTAAGGCTAAGGTTGCTGAGGAACACTATCAAGCGTGGAATAACAGATGTAGAACTCAAACATGAACTGTTTTGGACGACGTAAGTTCTGTAAATTGTCAAGCATTGCTTTCCATAATTCGTACCACTCAAATACCCAAATGATAGCCACACGCATTCCGTGTGTTTAAGCTACAGACATCACTCACACCCTTCAACCTCCATCCTAGCAGGCCAACCAGGCCATGCGGGGCGTGGGAACGAGGACTATGAACAACCCTTGAGGCGCTTATAAACCCCATCCGCAACTCATATTTCAATTCGCCATTTAGTTGTATTGGCCTGAG